GTGTAAAGCGCTTTGGGGGTCCGGAGGGACTTGAAAAGCGCTCTATAAGTTCAGTACCATTTACCATATGGTTTCAATGAGCAAAGACCAGGGAGTCACTTCCTGTTTCATTTTTGTTTAGCCTAATTCAAAAGAAAATATGACAATTATGTGACAAAATGGATAAAATCATGTGTATTATATCAAGTTTCTTAAAAATAAACATGTTTTCTTTGACTTCTTGTATTTGAAGCATGCACATGTCACAGGCACTTTAATCCAGCAGTGAGTGAGAGTGAACTTGACAAGATGGTCTCTCAAATAACCAATACAATAATACCATAACAGCCATTTTTCTGTCTAAAATCTAGTAAAYTTGACATTACAGTGGCGACATTTTTAGCCAGTGGCTTTCCTCGGTGTTACACTAGAAATTATATTTCTGAGGTGTGACCAAGACAAAAACAGAGTTTGATTGGTTGGAAGTGAGGCAGCCTTGTGTGTTTTGGAAGAATGAGAAGGATCTGCACAAGCAGATGGTGAACAAGGTTCAATGACAGGTCTTCTGAGATGTCCTCATTATGGGGAACAGAACTGTCATCTGTAGGGGATGTTTGTCCACAGTTTGATGTTGGCTCATGCTGCTCTCCAAATGATCTGGCCTTCTAGCCAAGACCAAAGTGCTGGTGGGCTTGTCCTTTGTCTGACAAGCTTTGTTTACAAGAACAGCCTTACAGAGTTAGGTTGGACGGATTCTGTTACTTGGATTTGTCCCATCCCTGGAGAGGATGCGGGGTGTTTCCTGCTCAACATTTCTTTTATAATGACTTGATAAAAATCAACGAGCTAAGTTTTTTCCATCACCTTCATCTTTTTTGCCAGGCTGTTTGAGCCATTTCATTTTAAGTTATATTTTATTAACAAAAAGGCTGATGTGGCAGCAAGAACTTAGAGAAAACAAACCCTAAGCAGACAAAACACAATGGCGTACTGATGAGTTTAAATGGAACTGGGAGGAGTGACAACAGCTGGGAACAGCTGAGACTAACGAGGAGCAGGTGAGACTAATGATTAACTGAGACTGAGGGAAAAGTCCTGGTGGCACAAAAAAAACACCAGAAAAAGCTGAAACGCATGAAAAACAATCAGAGACAAAAAACAAGGGGAACAAATCTAAAAACAATAAACACATGAAGCCACCAAAAAAAAAAAACAAACTCAGACACAATGCAAAGAAAACATGTTCACCCTTCCTTTTAGTATGATAGAACTGACAGCAAACTGGATAAAAAAGGCAAAAATTTGAATACATTTGATAAAGCTGCAAAAAGCGAAGTCATTGTGACATGTTTATAACAAGYTATTACGGTGTACACATAAAAGTACTAAAACAAGATTTTTTTTCAAAAGAAGAGATCAGTACATTTCAACACAAACATCAACATTTGTTTGTCTATTGAAGACGACTTTGATAGTACGTGTGAGAGAGTTTGATAGTATTTGTGAGAGCAAGTTTGAATTATGGCCTAGAGGGCCTCTCATATATTACCGTCCATGAAGCTGTGCTTCCAGCATGACTTTTATGACGTCTGTTATGAGTAAAGTCAAAGTTTTTGTGATTTTATTTCTGAAATTTGTGCAAAGCAAGCCCAGCAGTTTTCAGTAGAAGTGCGTCCTACGTTTCTGCTCTTCGAACGATCTCCATGGTGAGATGAGCAGATGGAAGAGGCAGAGGGAGTTTTCATWCAACCTCCTGTATGTTAGGTGGACRATGAGCATGAACTGTCTCATTAGCTGTGAAGTTCTTCGTTACAGATGGAGCCAGCTGGTGAATAATTACTGATGTACATGCTGTGGACAGTTTGTGCAACAATACCRGCACGGGCGAGCTGTTTGTAGTGTCTGCTCAGTTCTTTGCAGCGACTACGGGTGGGTTTAAATAATCGATGATTCAAGCATGAAGGGTGAGACACAGTACTGAGACACCCTCATATTTGATAAATGACGTGTTAGAAAACATCGGTTTGTCACGTCTCACTGCAAAACGTTACCTAATAAAAGTATCAGCTCATRATACAGGAACAATTAACTTACTGCCATGTTTAAGAATGATTTTAACTTTTTAATATTTTCTATATTTCTTTCAGGAGATCCAGCCTGGTGATCACCACAAAGCTCTACTGGGGAGGAAAGTAAGTGTGCACTTGTTTTTCCTGTCTGTCTAACTTGTGAATTTTCCACCTCAGATCATCRGACTAACGACTGGCCAGACATAAAATTTTTTGCCTCCAGCTGCAGGGAGCATGACATAATATCAGACATTTTGAAGAGAAACACACGTACAAATGCAGGGCACTCAAAAATAACCATGAAAACGGCCTCATTCCCATCTCCATGTTGTGTTAAACATCCTTTCATCAAATTTGATCAAGTCTAATATTGTAAAGTGATAAAAGAGCACTTTTTTATCATGGTAGTTTTCAGACAAACCATCGCTGCAACAGCTCTGAGCAGCACTCCTCTGAGAACCACAGAACTAGATGTCAGATAATATTTAGCTGCTCCACAGCCAGGTTCCCCTCAGGACAGAAGGATGAGGAAACTAAGACACAGCTAAAAAGGAAGCAGATATTGGACTTGTCACACAGTCAGAGACTTGAGGGCAACTTCTGGTTTTTTGACTGTCTACCCTTAACCTGAGGTGTTTCCCATAGCTTTTAGTGCGACGTTACAAAGCCTGAAGTCCACATTAGAGAGTTATTTAGCCCGAAGACAATACTCATTCTGAAGTACCTTAAAGTCTGTATWCCAGACTTTTCTGCTAAACTTTTATCAACATGAAACACAGCTATAAAGGAAATAACAGGGCAACACATTCACTCTTCAGTAAATTTGCTCACTACAAAAAAAAAAAAAAAGATACACCCAGATTACACATAATACAGCTTTAAATACTTGTTTTTAATAATGTTTAGCAGGTAATTATCTCCTGCTACCTTTGTCTGTGTGTGTGTGTGTGTGTGTGTGTGTGTGTGTGTGTGTGTGTGTGTG